CGGCGCAGGGACAGCGGAAATCGTACACTTCGGATGTGTGCCGATCACAGACTTGCTTTGCAGCACCAATTTCCGGAGCAGCGGAAGTCGCTTGACGACGTGGTGCCAACCAACGAACCAGTACTGTGTCCAACTAGCTCGCAGCGCCGTCAGTTACCGACGAGGGTAGCCCACTGTCTGTCCTCCCTTCTGGTAATCCAGTGTGAACTCCGACCATGCACGTGTGTGCTGTCGCTTTCCACTGCGCTTTTTAGGTCTGCGAAAAACGCCCCGCTTAGTCACTGGGGAGCTCGAGATAGCTCAGCGGTTGGGGCGCAAGCTTACTAACCGGAAGGTCTGTGGTTTGAACCCAATCTCATCATCTCGGTTGCTCCTGTCTAGGCTTGGGCAACCTGGCAGTATCAGTCCCCGTGCTTCCTTCGAGTGACATGGCAGCTTGGCACCGAAAGGGTGTTACAGCTGAACAGCTTAGTGTCATTGTGGAGCTAGTAGCAAGCGGGAGTCAAACAAAACCTTGAGAATAGTTTTCTCGAACGCCTTCCGGATGGTCCTAGATCGATAATAATAACGGCCACTGGGAACAGATATCCACAATGCTGCTCAGAGGCGGAACTTCCGTTTGTGGTACAACCCAACCAGTGTCATCCAAACGCTGAGAAGAGTGCTTTCTGTCGAGAGTTATCTTGACTCATTCGTCGAGCAAGAAACACTGACATTATGGTCCTTGCGGGCGATATAATTGCACTAGTTGGTCGTCTGAGCTCCTAGGAATCACATCTGAACGGTCGATTAGGAGTCGATGCTCGTCGCACAGAAAACGGAGAGTGCCCCTCTAATTGTGTGCGATCGTGAACTTTTCGGCGAACTTTCAGCATAAACTTTCGCATCATGTAACTTAGCGGCCACCAGCTGTAAATCAACCGTGGACCCAGTTGGATCACGTGCTGCTGCAAGACTGAGTGGGCTCGAACCCTAACCTTATTCCTGCGGATGAGCCGGTTGAGGTAGTAGACAAATTCATCTACCTGGAAAGCTGTATCAGTCTTGCTGATTTAGCCGAAGATGTTTCCATCCGGATTGGAGGTGCTAGAGCAGCTCTCGTGAGCATGCATCGCCTATGGGATAGGCATGGCATCAGCTTATCCATCGACCGTGGAGCTTACAACAATGCGGTGCGCTCCATATTATTATAAGAGTCTGAAGCCTGGCTGCTGCGCGCGGAGAACGTCAAAAGTCTTTCATTGTCTGACCATCGACGTCTTCGGAGCATTGCGTGAGTCCGGTCGAACACCGGACCACAAATGCTGAAACACATTTCAGAAGAACGAACTCGCCCACAGTGGATGGACCAATCACACTCTACAGGTCGCACTGGCTTGGTCACGTGCCCCGTATGCCAGTCGAGCGAATTCCCCGAGGTACTCTTTTTTCACAATCCCTTGAAGGATGGAAATAGCCCAAGGGAGTTCGAACAATGACCGGTACCAGCAAACTCGGTTGCGTTGGTTATTGCCGTCTTCCTGGACGGGGTCCCCGAGACAGGGCACATCAATAGTTAGATTCATTTTCGGTCGCGTCCTCAGTGGCGCTCGTACCTCCGAGCTATTGCCTTAATGCTATTGCCTTAATGCTTAATGCCTTAATGTCTTAATAGATCTCGTCCCAATCTCCCCACTTTAAAGCCCATTGCATTTGCGCAGCATTTACGCATCAGCTACGGTCTCCGATGCGCGGCTATCTACCCCACCTCCTCGAATCATCGGTGAACGAAACTGTGGTATCTAGAGTCGCTATACGGCAAGTGCGCAGTTCTTGCAGTTGATGATGATAAGGAGGATGATAATAATGACGACTTTTGTGTTCATGGATTTCCAGAGCTCATATGACTCAGTAGACCAGTTTGTTGTCAACATTTGTAAAAACTTAAAAATAAAAAATCGTTCAGCTGTAGCACCCTTTCGGTGCCTAGCTGCCATGCCACCCGAAGGTTGCACGAGGGATGGGGTACTGCCAGATTGCCCAAGCCCAGACAGGGGAAGTCGAGAGGCAGAGGTCGGCTTCGAACCACGGTCTTTCCGGTCAGTAAATTCGCGTTCTAACCACTTGGGCCATCTCGCCCATCTCGTCAACATTTGTACCCTGCAATGAATGCCCCCAAAGCTTGTGAATTTAAGTTCCTTGTGTTCTCAGGGCGTGTGGGACTATAAAGAGAGAGCTCTTCAGATGCCTCCGTACACAAATCTGTGTCCGTCAAGGATGCCAACTCTTGTTTAGTTTTGTGCTTGTAGAATTAGTGAGACAGACACTGGAAGGTTTTCAAAACCCTCGTGTTCAAATAGCTGCTAACGAAAACCTTGTCGATCTGGAGTATGCAGACGACATTGTCCTTGTCTTCAAAGAGGTTTTCTTGGGTGAGCTGATCAAAGTCATTATATCCTCCGGCATGCACTCTGTACCTACAAAGCTCAAGGTTATGCACAAATCTACAAGGATTGGGTCGTGTCTGCTAATCTTATACACTTATGGCGGCAAAGCGGCGTATCTCTGTATTTCAAGGGATGTTTATCAGGCTACAGTAGGGGATGTTTTGCTGCATAGATGTGAAGCAACCTCTCTGAGTAGCAGGACTGAGACGTCTTTAGGTCTTCGAAAATCGTTGTCTCAGAGCCAGGTTTCTTGGAGGCTGGTGCGAATCTGCAAAACGAAGCACTTATAAAACTAGTGTTCTGTTGTGCAACGAGGACTTCAGTCAAAGAATTCGTCAAATTACCATGAGCTGCGATACTCAGTCCTTGTATTGCCCGTGCCAACTCATCGTTTGCCTAAGAGGGTGCTGTTAAGTGTAGCGGAAGCACAGAGGTGGCCAACTCTTGACGTGGCAGAAAGGTATGAAAGAAATTGCGAAACGTTTTGATCCTGTCGGTACTACTCGCCTTCCAGTATAGGGACCACGTGACCCCCACTTTGCCTGGTTGGAGATGCTGCCAGATATGGTTGCTAGTCGATGTCACTGGTGTTCTTGTAGTCCGTTTCTATTCAGATTGAATGAGTACTTGGAGATGTGTGCACCTTGGAATGATTTTAGTAAGCTAGTACCTTTATTCTTCACAATGAGGCTTTCAAAAAATTACGGTTGTACGGCATCAATGCACCAGTGTTGCACACTGATGCGCCATCGATGGTGATTATGATGACAAACCTCACGCAGAACATCTGCAAGGTGAGAGAATGCCGAAGAAATACCGGGTAGCATTCGCTCCTATCCTTAAAGGATGTTGGATGTGAATGTGAGGGCCATAGTAGCAGTCTGTTCACATCGCTTTCAATAAAACAGGTCTCTATCCGAATTGAGGTCGCATTGACCACATCATATGGAACACTACCATGCATATGGATAGTCAATAAGTTTTCTCTTCGTTTTAAATACTGTCTGATTCGGCCGGTCGTGCTTCTGTGTTGATATCTGTTTCGGATATCTTTATTGATCTTCTCCAGTCTTCGCATACCGAAATCCGCAGGCGAGTGTTTCTTTGAGTTCATCTTCAAAATGATCCTAGCCATAGCTTATCTTTATCACCTTTTTTCAAATTCTTCGTCGGCTCAATTATCGGAGAGATCCCTGGTATATTTATCATCCTGGCACGCAACTTTTGTGGAAGTCTTTCAAGACATTAGATGTCCTAATGGTATCATGCCCTGTAGTAAATCACCTGGACATCGTCACTATTTTCAGCCGTAAAAACTGCTTACGTGTGTAGTGGTCATAATTGCCACAGTTTTGTTCGCCAATGACCTGAAGTTGTAGAAGTACACAGCTTTTGCTTGTGATTCACTGCGTCTTGCACTTCCAAAGGGCGACGTGCTATTCTAAGACTTAGTGAATGCGTTATCAAAGTTGTTCAGGACATAAGAATGACCAGAGGCAGTAGATAAATCTGCAGCCCAGATTAGTTGCATCACCTAGGGTGGCCGAGTGTTAACGAACCGAATACCATAGACTCTAAAGCCCGATACGTCTTCTCTCAATTTAAGCACCTCTGATGTCGACGTGACTGTCAACGGAAAGTGTGGTCTACAGCGCGGCAGTTCGTCCGGTTTTGCTTTACGATTGTTAAATCCGCCCGCTGTGTGCGAAAGGCAATAGGGGACCATGAGTGTCTTCGAGACATTGCAAGTGTACCATGGAAACGTCGAAGTTGTTGAAGTGAGACGGATGATTTGATTCAACTGCATGAACTACACCGGTTCGGCCGTGTTTTTGTGCCAGGTGATCACTGTATCCTGTTTGTTGAATCAAGTTCCAACTGTAAGATGTCATAAGGCGGACGACCCATGGCCCGAGAGGTGAAAACCACAAAGCTGCACTGGTGGATATCATTTGTAAGATTTGGGTATCAGATGTCTACTAAATCAGTAGCTGGAGTTACCCTTTGACACTGCAGTGTCGCGCAGCCAATGGTTCTGTTGTATACATTTTCTTATTTCCGAACTCTAACATGGTATTTTGTGGTTTCTGCTCGTTTTCACTCGCTCACCCTTCGATCCCACACCACGTGCTACGACAAATCAAAGCAACCCAAACGGTCACATATACGAATACGGTCGGGCTCAATAGCTTAGTGGTTAGAGCGCGAACGTATCGTTTGGAAGGTCCGTGGTTCGACGCCGACCTCTGCATCTCGACTTCCCCTGTCTAGGCTTGGTCACCTTGGCAGTATTCCAGTCCTCGTGCTTCCTTCGGATGGCATGGCAGTTAGGCACCGTGAGGGTGTTATAGCTGGACTGTTAGTTTTTTGTTTCTACGTATACGGTCCATGGTCGCCAAACTGAACCGAAGTGAACATCCCAATACTGCTATGTGTTTTGGAGTCGGCTCATCTTTCCACAGAAGATAGTCGCAGTGAGGTAAAGTAAGGAACTTGATTTGTCGAATTCGACTAGTCACCTAATAAATATCAGTTTCCTATGTGGGCTCTTATCTCGACAGCATTCATTCCGGAATGAACCCTACAAAAGTTGTCGATTTTGGGCCTTGTCGTGGTCGAGGCATTGTGGCTGCTCGTGGAATTCAAGCGGGTGAAACATTATTTACAGAAGTCCCCCTTCTATGTTGTCAGTTTTCGTGGAATCGTCTTTATGGCTATCAGGCTTGTGATCACTGTCTTTGTCCACTGGAGTCCGCTCAAGCGAACGCCAGGCGACTTACCGGAAGGCCAGATTTGATTCTTCCTCAACCAGAATGCGGGTCTCTTGTATCGACTGTTCGGCCAACACATTGCCCGCAATGTGGTGTGACTTACTGTACGCCAGAATGTATGCAGTCAGCGGCGGATACATATCACGCGGTCATCTGTCCTAAGGACCCTCAACTACCAGCCGATCATCCATTTACACGCCTTGACGAACTGTGGCGTCAACTTCATTATCCTCCCGAATCCAGTACCATCTTCCTCCTAGTTCGAATCGTTGGGGCATGCCTCTCCGCGTCCGTTTTCCAATCGACCTACTCCATTCGGATCATCAGTATTCTTCAAACTTTTGTCTGCTGCACCACAGAAACTAATCTGAGCGACGGGATCGAACACGCTGTTGTGTCACACAAACTACTTCTTCCTGATTTTACACAGTCCCTGCAACAACTACACACTGCTTTCAGTGACGTTCTCTACTACTTGGTGCGACGTTTGCTGCCCTGTCCCACAGAAGATGAATGCTTACGATGTATGCAGCAGGCTGGAGTGGATCGGCTACTCACTTTGGAAAATTTCAAGACGGCCCTGTGTATGCTCGGTCGCAATGGTCAAGGTATCGCAACCAGTGCGTTCAGCTTGTGGGCTCGTGAGATAGATCAACTGATCAGTGGAACCGGAGATGAACAACAGATTAGTGGCTTGAATGCTCTTCTCGCGGATATTTACGAAGCCATGGATAACCATGTTGGAAGCTTCCTGGATAATGAAGGCGTTGGACTCTACGAATATCAAAGTGAGTAAACGGTCTCTTTTTAGGGCAGCTTGTTTTTTTTACGAGGAGCTTAATTTGTATATTACCACTATTGACACCTACTGAGGACTATAAATTTTGGTCATCCAGTTTATGGACAGTTATGAAGTTATGAAGGCACTTTCTTGATGGCACACTTTATCGCATGAGAATAACGTTCTGGCCTTCGTGATACAATCGGATCTGTGCCATACCTAGACTGTTTTTAAGACATGTACAGTACATGTCATTCTGGACTTGAATCGAATCCTTTGGGCAGTATTCTGTGCGACCACTATGTGATGCCACTGGTGCTTTTTTTGCGTCCTTTCTTGTGTTTTACTGCCAAGTGTACTTTCTAGATATAACCTCCGACGCTCAACTGATAGATTTTTCGCTAATAAACACGCGCAGTAATCTTACCGTAAAATGACTGTGAATTCGCAATTAAATTCTGTCGTGATAGAGGTATGGAGGGGCGAGATGGCCCAAGTGGTTAGAGTGCGAATTTACTGGCTGAAAGGTCCGTGGTTCGAATCCGACCTCTGCCTTTCAACTTCCCTTGTCTAGGCTTGGGCAACCTGGCAGTATACCGGCCCTCGTGCAACCTTCCGGTGGCATGGCAGTTAGGCACCGAAAGGGTGCTAGAGTTGGACGATTTACGATAGAGGTATGGTATGGCAGATCAAAGGAAGAGTCATAAAACAATGGTACAATAGCTAAGCTCTTAACATTCAGTCTTTCGGAGTATGACGTTTGCAGCTAGCTGTTTAGGCCAGTTGCCTGAGCGTCAGTTTCACCACAAATATGATCTTGTGTGCTTCATTCGATGATCTGCCTGGTGTTTCGAAACTACGAGTGTCTTTCGAGTACTCCAGGTCGCTTGATTAGTTTCACTAGCGTGGCTAACCGTAATCCCCAAGTATCTGAATTCATTTCTCACAATGGCCTGTCGAATTGGTGAATATGATTTTCATGCCCCTACATATACATATATACACCTTTCCTTGAGATCGTCCACTAAAGCCGTGTACATCATTTTATCGAAGCCTCTGTTTAACTAGCTGCCACAATACACCTTCTTTCACTTTCCCGATCTACATAGGTCTTATTAACCACAGCTGTGAACCTAATGCCGCAGTCCAGTTCAGCGGAGCAAACAGTTGTCTATCTGTGATAACTTTAAAACCGATCGGCGAGGGTGAAGAGGTGACCATTTCCTACCTGGACGAATGTCAACAATCCCGGAGCCGACATTCACGGAGAAAGTTTTTGTCTTCAAACTATCTATTCTGGTGTGATTGTGCTAAATGTAACCGGGAGAAATTACCAGATGGCGCGATGAGTGAAACCTCGGAATCTGAAGAGGAGGAACAGGATGAAGAGAACCTGGCTTCTTAGCCACCAGTGGCATGGACTATATGGAGAAAAGTGTCCAATGTGTCTCACAGGACCGTGTTGACTGTGTATATTCGCTTTGAGTTGTGAGCCGGTGCATCCAACCATGTAAATAATAAAACAGATGTGGGACAACACGATTCGTCTTTGGTTACTACAGTGTGTGATTGGGTCGGTGGATCGGTCAAACTAACGAGTACACGCTCTCGCGTCTTCAATTGCCTGTGCTCGCGTCATTGTCATCTGGTTTATTGTTAACAAACGATAACAATATGCATTTGTTCTTCGTATTCTTTTAAGGAAACCTCCGATTTGCGGTTAGTTTGGTCGAAACTTTACATTTATTTGAGAAAACCCCTAGATTCAGTGCTGCCGGTCTGTGACTTCGCACGACCCAACCTCTTTTTAGTTCAACGGACGTTTCTGCACAACAATAGTCACTTCTGTGATTATTGTCTTCCGTCTATGGTTGTCTTTGGCTATCCTAGTTGTCATCCTCAGGCTTATCAATTAGGCTGTTAGGCTTAATCGAGATGGGGATAACTGGTGATCCTTAGCTGTCCGTTCGGATTTACAGCGAGCAGATGACGGTAGCTCTCGCCCTATGACTAGCATTGCCTTCTCGGCTCACTGTCTCGCACTCCGAATTTCGTCGTTCCAGTGCTAAATTTTCACTCTAGAGCCGAATTTCAGTCATCTGGGACTCTGATATGCAAGAAGAAATTCTTTAATAACATAACGTGGGCTCATCCTCCTGAACGAACCAGTCACGTAATTAAAGAAGGAAAATCTAACCTCAGACAACACGTCTTCTGTTTGGTTTGTCGTTGTGAACAGGTGTTTGTAGTCGCACAACTTTTTTTCCGTTCGTTTGGCAGTCCTCTGCACTTGCGATTTTCGTTTCAGCGTTGTGCGGCCATTTGTCCCTGTTTTGGCGGGTCGACTGGAGATGAAGAACGACCTAGAGACACGCATCAGTTAGAAGACATCGAAGCTCGGCGCCAGCGTCAAGCCGAAGCTGCTGAACGCCGACTTGCTACTACCCAAGCCCGTGGTCTTGCTGATCCAGAAGGGGTGAAGCGTAAACAAGAACGCGCCCGGGAGCAGGAGAAAATGAGTTTTGAACACAAGGCTGATACGGGACTGCGTTGGCAAGTTGGTTGAAACGCACACTCCACATTTTCACTCTCCAGTTCCCTTTCATCCTTACCTTCCTTTCCATAGCAATCTTGTCTGTTCTACATATCTTTCAGATGCAGTTTATTTTTCAAATTTTCTCCTCTTGACACAACCCAATACGACATCTTTTAACCTCACATTCAGTGTGCTATGGTAGTCAACCTGTACAGTGTGGATGCTGTGTTCCGACAATATGAGTCAAAATTTTGTTCGTATCTCATTCGGGTACAACAGAATACAAAACCGACTCTTTTACTGTTCACCGGAAAAGTCCATATTTGTTTCCATTGGCAAGGTTTTGTCGATCTACAGTAAGTTGGTTTACTAGTCTAGGGTCACGCCATCTCACGCGGTTAACCTTGTTATTGATTGAAATGCGAAGAAGAGGCAGATGTCCAAATTGCTTGAGTGGCTTCGTTTTTTTAAACTTCGTACCTGCATTACTGTTGTCCAAATAGTCCTGATAAAATTATTCTGATTGGTTCCCTTCATATTGAAGGGGAAAGCACAATATCTAGTTTCACTCAACAACAACGCCTTCCCTTGGTGGTACCGTGTTTGGAATCCTCATAACCAAGATGAGCCTGCTACCAGTGTAACGGTGAAAACTACTGATGAGGCATGCGAGTAATATGTTTTTCGTAAACCCGCTTTGCGTGGGATTTATGACGGGATTTGCGGAATGGCTTTGCAGCATTCGTCTACAATTGAGTGATAGTAAATGAATATCCAGGAAAGTTCAGTAAGACGCGTTCAAGAAGAAGAAGGATATTCAGTTTTTATAAACAAGACGCATATGAGTTATGCTCCCGTGTCCAATAGTCCATAACTGTTCAGTTGATGTTTTCTAATAACTAACTCCGCAGCGAAGGCCTTCTTACTTTCACCAGTGCTGTAGTTCACGCTTTACTTGGTTAGATTGTTGTTTGAAAAAGTGGACATATTCACACCTGAGTGGTATCATTAGAGAGGTTGTCAATTAGCCGTTCCGGTTACGCCGAACGATCGGACCGACCAGCTGCGAAGCTTCAAACTCGGGCACACGTATTGGACTACCTATCAGTAACTGCGAGATTTGAAAATTAGTATTCACACCACTCTCGTTTGAACATCAAATCAACTCGTCGTGACGTCCTTTTAGTTCGCACCCTCAATGTCACTGGGTGAAAGCAGGAGAGTAGAAATAAGTCCGGATCCAGGAGCGCGTTTACTTGTTGATGACTGATGGTCGATTTTTCACTCTACCTATGATTTGCGAATGCATTCTATCCCCATTACCACGTCACCTTACCTTTCCGAAAAAAGACTCATTACGTGAGTATGATGTCACAACGAAGTCAAGTACTGACAGGAACCGCTTGTAAATCATACGCACGAAACAACAATGAGTCTCTGGCTTCTTGATTTCACAGGAAACATTTTAGTACTTGTTAAGTTTTATTGACCATAAGCTTGTAGTGTTCTGACAGTAGCGTTCTTCTCCCTGTAATTGTGGAAATTTTGATTGTCAATAGATGATGAGCCTCGATCTTGAGCGTTTACTGACGAAGAATGACGAACGCGTACACCGTTACTTTCTAAGTGGCCCGTATGGTGATAGCAGTTGACAATGGTCTCTGGGCCGCATGATTCCACACAGCTTTGCAGAGTAGTGCATGCTCATAAGGAGTCATTGCCATGAGTTGGTTCTATTCCTTCAAATGCATCCTTCTCTGGAGGCACTCAGGTGAATTGCTGAAGATATGGAATTCTAATACAAACTAGGAAAACTGAATTTAACACCCGAATATCCGGGTAAATTACCGTCATAGACTGGCCAAATGTCTGTTCCAGCCAAATTGTGGGTGACTCCGGTAACTCATAAGAGAGTTGGACCAAGTGGTTAGATCGCGAATTTACTAACTGGAAGGTCCGTGGTTCAAACCCGACCTCCGTCTCTCGACTTCTCCTGTCTAGGCTTGGGCGACCTGGCATTATCCCAGTCCTCGTGCCTCCTTCGTGTGGCACGGTAGCTAGGAACCGAAAGGGTGCTACAGTTGAAAGACAAGCAACATAAGTGGTTACAACTATGCATGGTCCCCAATAAAGGAACGTGTTGGAACACTTAACTATCAAGGGGTCTGTGTTGTTCGCAATTAGGGTACCGATACCTCCATTGTCATTCAAAGCTTAAATTTGCGCACTTAACTAATGGAAAATTTGTACGGAACGGAATAGTGTTTTTTGCCCCACACAATCGTGCATGCTTACCTCTGGTTAAAATTGTTGCGCAAAGTATAGGTCCTCACAAGAGGACCAGAGATCACAATCTGGTAACGCTCTGTAATCTCTAAAATGCTAAATGTGTTAGAACAATTATGGACGTACTTCTAACTTGTTCATTGAACAGTAGGATCCACTGCATGTGGAGCACAAACTCCTCGACTTTGTCGAAATGGACCGAGCCTACCCATCGTTTAATTCTTTTACTCCATGTGTCAGTTCATCAAAGATACACTTGGGGTATAAAGCTATTCAGTAGTCTTATCTAGATTGCATTTGAACCGCAGAACTATTCCCTTGAGTGTTTCACCAGTCAAGCTCGGCACGCGATTAGGTGTACTATTCCTCAGTAGTCTCGTATTCTTAGTTCATCTTTGCCGTCGGTTCACGAAGATTTCGCTTTTAAAGGCGATTATCATCATATACATCTTTGGTCATACTTGGGACAGTTAAACATTTGTCTACCACGTCGACTGGCTGGTCTACAGGCGTGAGGTTCGCGTTTGATCCTATCCAGTTTCGTAGCAGCACTTAACACTTCGCAGGTGCAAGCGCACACAAGACCATGTGACAGAATTATCTAAAATGATCTGCACCGTTGAAGGATTTGAACTAAGGGGAGCAGTATCGTCCACATGTCTGTCAACGAACACTCCTGGAGCCTTTCCATCCCCGAGGTATCAGGTGCAGACAGTTTTCAAGCAGCGAGTAACAACTAAATCGGGCCTAAGCATCTTCCAATTGATTTATCTAATTATGTTTAGATGAAAAGAAGAGTGAGTGAGGGTGGGTACCTGGTGTTGGTCTATCGCAAGCTTCCTGAGGTTCTTACCCATCCAAGCGTTCAGTCAGACAATATGAAAGGAAACTGTCATCGATCAATCGCAATTTCCTGAAATATCTCTAGCCAAACTCAGGAGGGGTCACAAGGACCCCATCCTGGAAGTCCATGCTGTCTGCGTACTCCAGATCGACACGTTTCTCACGAGTAACGGTTTGAACACCGCGGTTTTGAAGACATTCTAGTGTTTACCTCATTGTTTCATCAACGACAAAGTTGAATGAGACTAGAGAGAAAGGACACCGCAATTTCCTGAAATATCTCTAGCCAAACTCAGGAGGGGTCACAAGGACCCCATCCTGGAAGTCCATGCTGTCTGCGTACTCCAGATCGACACGTTTCTCACGAGTAACGGTTTGAACACCGCGGTTTTGAAGACATTCTAGTGTTTACCTCATTGTTTCATCAACGACAAAGTTGAATGAGACTAGAGAGAAAGGACACCCTTGTCGGACACCACTTTTTGTAGGGAACTCTTAGAGACCTCACCATACACTCTTACACGTCCAGAAGCATGTAAATATAGATACCGGATTAGGTTCACAAACTTCTGGGACATTCGCTGTTGAACAAGTGTGGTTAGCAACATCGATCGACAATCTGGTGCACCCTTTAAATCAAGGGACACTAAGGTTGTGGGTCATCTGTACATTTAACCTAGCTCTAACGCCTCACGGAGCGAAAATATGGTCAGCACCGTCCCATACCCAGTCCAAATCCCACTTAATGCTCACAAGTCGTTTCGCGTTGAAAAACCAAAGCCTTGTTACAACATGAATCAAACTGACTCCCCTGTGCTTACCACATTCACTGCGAGTAATCTTTTTGGAAATGGGCACTATTATCGAATCGTCTCAATTATCTAGAACGGTCTCCTCCCAACTAGACAAAAATAGGCTAGCATACACTGGCTGAGGAATTCGCCACATTCTTTGAACAGAACAGATGGAAGATTGTCGTGGCCAGGAGCACGGTGATGCTTTGGTTGGGATGTACACTCGGACACTGAGGCTGAGGTGGTTTCATCTTTACAGACCGCCTTTCTGTTGAATGCTAGCAGTGCGGCCTGGAAGTAGCAGATGACCAACTAAATTGTTTCTCGAATCATTGGGCCCAGTGGTCCAAGCGTCCTTCTTTGCTGGATATCAGAGGGCCATTTTGTTCCCTGATAGTTTCGCCGACATGAGGCTTCCGAGGACCAGTCGAACGAATCAAGTGGGACAGCCTGCGGACGTTTCCAGTTTTTCGCGCCTTCCATTTCTTCGGCCTTTCGAGTCCACCAAGCTTCTCGGTCTGCACGGACACTCAGTTTCACGCTGTCTAAACATTTAGCCAGTTCTGAAAGAGAACTTATAGCGTCATAGAAACTGCCTTTGGCGGACTCAGAGCTACAGTCCGTCGGAGCGTATGCAAACAGTGTGCAGTGGACCCCATAGACCTTACCAAACGAACCGCACAGAGGCGACTATAAACGGGTATCTTATCAGAGATGCTTCCACTCTGTCGCTCAATACAATAAACACGCCGGCATATGCAGGTGAGGCGGCATCTGCATCGATAGGTGCGCAGCCGGAACCTGGAAGAGAGCGAGGGGCAATCATTTTAGTTACAATACTTGCGTCTTGTATCCTTGTTTCTGACAGACAGCACACATCAATGCAGAGGAATTCAGCGTACGAGTAAGAGCCACTTGTCCTGCTTGTTCCAGTGTGCGAACGTTAATGGGAGCTAAGTAGACTGGCTTTTGGGATTTGATATCAAACAAAGCAGTCGGTTATGGTGCTGGGACCTGCAGAGAGTTCATTCAGATTGGGTAGAGGTAGGTTACAAGAGTGAAAACTTGAAAATGTAAGAAAGGAGGTATCAACAGTATCATGTTTCC